TGTGTTGCCCAGGCTGGTCTCAAACTCCTGGCCTCAAGCAATTCTCCCTCTCAAGCCTCCCAAAATGCTGGGATTACAGGCATCAGACACTGCACCTGAACTGGTAGCTATGTTTATATAAAAAATGTAGAAAAAAAGAAATATAGAACTTCAGAATAAGAAATATCACCAAGGATAAAGAGGGATAGTTCATAATAATAAAAGGGTCAATTCATCAAGAACATAATACAGTCCTTTTTGTTTGTTTGTTTTAGAGATAGGGTCTCACTCTGTCACCCAGGCTGGAGTGCAGTGGCCTGATCATATCTCACTGTAACCTTGAACTCCTGGGCTCAAGTGATCCTCCCACCTCAATCTTCTGAGAAGCTAGGACTACAGGCACGGACCACCACACCTTGCTAATTTTTAACATTTTTTTGTGAAGGCAAGGTCTTGCTATGTTGCTCAAGCTGGCCTAGAACTCCTGACCTCAAGTGATCCTCCTGCCTTGGCCTCCCAAAGTGCTGGGATTACAGGCATGAGCCACCCTGACCAACCCCGTAACACAATCCTAAATGTGTATTCACATAATATTATTTAAAAAGCTTCAAAGCACATGACACAAAAAATGATAAAAATAAGAGCAGAAATAGACCAATCCACAGTCATATTTTAATATTCCAACACTGTCCTCTCAGTAAACAATAGAAAAATTAGGCAAAAATCCCAGTAAGGATATAAAAGATTTGAATAACACTTTTGACCAACCAATGTGATGTAATTGACATCTATAGAATACTCCACCCAACGGCAGCAGAATATATATTATTTTCAGATGCACATAAAACATCCCACATGATAGAACCTACGCTGGCTTATAAACAACTCTCAATAAACTTGGAAGGGCTGAAATGGTACAGAATCATTCTCTGATGAAACTTAGAAAATATTTTGAACTGAATGAATATGAAAACACACTATGTCAAAATTTGTGTGATACAGTATTTAGAGGATAATTTATAGCTTTATATAATTAGAACAAAGGAAAGCCCCAAGATCAATGATCTAAGCTTCAATCTTAAGAAGCTAGGAAAAGAAGAGCAAATTAAATCCAAGATTAATAGTAAGAGAAGAAATAAATTCAGTAAAAATTGACAAA